AGTGGGGGAAGGGAGAGAGAAAGAGAGAGAGAGGGAGAGAGAGAGAGGGATAGAAAGTGTCTCTAGTGTAATAGGGAGGATATAGAAGAAGTACAACAATTTTTTGAAAACATGGAGACAGAGGATGATATGAAAATGTTATTTAAAAAATGATGGTCTGAGACCTTTTGAGTCTAGATTATTAATCAAGCCTTTACTTGAGTAACAGTTTTACGGGGCTCGAATCTGTCAGTATGAAAATGACGTATTTAGCTGGTCCTTGTGAAAGATTTGCTTTATAAAAACCCAGGAATATTCGCCAATTTTTACATAATACATGCAAAACGCTTTCATGCAACACATTAATGGGCTGATTGGGACAAAAACTAACACAGCACTATTTAACACTTTAAAAAAGTATTATTTCGAAAGATTCTCGTTTTTTCTTCACCCAAGGTTGCAAATTAATGGGCACCAGGCATCAAGAGATCATAACAACTTTTGAAGTATCTTTTTTACAAAGGTTTTCGGTGATCCGATTCGCTAAATGCGTTTATTCTGGTTAATCGACAGTGTCTTTTCGACTAACCCTGTTACCCATGTCTCTGAGATCCAAATCTCACTGTGAATACAAATACAATAAATCGGAATCGCTGTACCGTTTGGCGTTTGGCACAGGGCATTACGGGGTCCCTGACTATATCAATGTTATTACGAACCCCCGCGGTTCGAGCTCGAAGCGAGTCTTGCGTGTGTAATACAGTTTGGGTCTTTTCCTAAAAATATCCTGTCCGATAAAAACAACCTCTCCTGCTGTCACACCTCTATCCAATACCCTTGTTTTTCATGTCATCTGGAACTATTCGCCTTTCACGCTGCCTGGAATCCTGCAGTTGGAGAAAGTATGGAGGTAGTCAGAACGTCTAGTCCTCTAGGGCTTTCACGCATGAAGCTACTTATGGGGCAACGGCTGTGGCAGGGGGATTGTTGGTGTAGGGAAAGAAGGAATTGGATGCCGGTAGAGAATGGTCAAGCGAGTGCCATGTGAGCTGTGTCTCTACAAAAAATTTGAGATAGATGAATATGTAGATATATAGACAGACAGACAGACAGACAGACTGACAGACAGACAGACAGACTGACAGACAGACAGACAGACAGACAGACCGATAGATAGATAGATAGATAGATAGATAGATAGATAGATAGATAGATAGATAGATACACTTTTCCTTCATGCCATACAGATTAGGCAGGCAAGTACGCAGCCTGGGAAACAGGTAGTCAGAGAAACAGCTAAAGTAAAAAGTTGAAAGAAATTTGTGACATTATATAAATAACAAAACTCGAGCAAGTTGTTAATTAATATTTAAATAGACCAGAAAATTAATCAACACTGTTGCGATAGGTTTTTTTCCCCTAATAAATAAGTGCATCTGCAAAATTCGCCATACAATTCACTACTTACAGCGCTATTCCTTCTGTTCTTTTTTGTCGATGAAGTGATTTTCAGTCGTCCTTTTGCTACCTTAAAATTACAAAGTTCTATCTGATATTTTTGGCCGTTTTGAGTTACTAAGATCATTAGGTCTGAAACCAAATGTTCCGTCTGCTCTATCAAAATAGTAAGTTTATTCGAAGTTTTTTTTAAGATATGCATAAAATTGCGTTCGAAAAAGTTTGAACATGCGGTGAAACTCAACATTTTTACATCAAATTTCTCAAAGCTAGGTACTGAGCAGATAAAACTATGTAACTCTCGGGTAGGCAAGTGCTATAATAGCTGCCTCTTCACATGCCACGACAGGGGGGCTCTCGTGGCCTAGAGGTGGAGGTGTTGGCCTCACATTCAAAGGTCGCGGGTTCGAATCCTGGCGGAGACCGAAAATTTTTCTTCTCTAAAATTAGTAAAATTGTCACCTTTCACCTCCTTTCCTGCTCTCTAGCAATGTTCTGTCGTCTGCTTTCGTCTCCTCTTTCTGTCCCCATCCCTTGGAGGTCTAAAATCGATAAGAGTAGGCTTCGGCCGCCAACTGGGCAAATTAAAAAAATTTTCTACCAACTGTAAAAGTTTAATGTGACCCGTGGGCTCATATGACATTATGCAGTTGCAAGCGCCGTAAAACACTTACCAAAAAGGGGGGAAAAATGCAACGGCCACGGCTCGTGAAGCGTGCCAAGTCGTGATATGATGACTGTTCATAATGCTTCGATCTTCGAATGAAGGGGAGCGTATTGCGTCTGCCTCTGTTGATTTCTAGCAAAGCCATCCGCTGCGCTTCCAAATTCAAAACCCGTGGGCCCTTGCGCTATTTATTATGTGACTAGTGAATACTGAATAGTAGTGAATACTTTAAGAGACATGTTTTATAACTCTTGTTGGCTCCATTTGTTACTGTCTCGCAATCTTCACTTACAAAATAGTGGTGTATTTACCTCAATGATTTTATATAAATAATATCATTACTTCATGAGGGGTTGAGAAAAATTAGACGGGAATCCATTATCAGTAAAAAGCACTCGGCATTCGAGGGGCTGCTCCCCCACGCTTCAGATAGAATAGCTGTGAATGTAGAAGAAATCGCGAACGATGAATTGTAGAGTGTAATGGGCACAGCTCTAGTGTAAAAAGATTACAACAAGTTTCGCTTTTTCAAAGTACTTTGTCAATATGGGGCCGTCTGGATCTCTGTAGGAACTGAGTCTCATAATACAGAGTGTTAACAGCTGCTGCACTTTGACTGTAGACCAAAGGTTACAGCGACTGAGAATGCAAAGAGAACATGTGATATATGAGGTAAGAAATAATTTAACCTCCCCTCTTTAAAACCTGATTTTTTAAAACTACAACCCTAAGACCAACCACATAGCTAACCCCAAACCCCTCAAAAAAGCGCAACAAATCTGGCATATCTTTACAACACGGGAAAAAGATCAAAGTAAGCTGCATACTTCTGAGTACATCACTGTGGTGCATTACTTATCCTATCACCCTCCCCCCTCAC